GCATGCTGCGCAGCGCAGACGTGGCGAAGATGTTGCCCTGCGTGCCCGCGGCGATGACGGCCACCGAGGCCACGAACACGATGAAGTCTGCAGGGGCGGGGATGGTGCGGTCACGGCCACCGCCAACAGCCCAGCCCACCCCGCGTCAGAAACCCGAGGTTGGGGATTCCTGAGACAGTGGGGCCATGTGGGGGAGGGTGGGGTCAAGGGGGTGGGGGAAGAGGACCCATTGAGTCTGTGCCAGCAGCCAGGGTCCGGGTCAGATATGGGGTCAGGTGTCAACCCTGGGACTTGGGGGTCACGGGTCAGGTAAAGGGTAGAGGGGGTCAGGCCTTATTACCTATGACACAGAAGGGTTTTCTGGCAAAGCGGAAGCGGCCCTGCCATCCTCGGTAGCGGCAGCAGCATCCGGCGGACCAGACACGGATGATGTACTCCAGGCCAAACACCACGATCATCACAAATTCCTGTGGGGCCAGGGCCTGAGCTCTCCCCAGTCTCCAGCCCTGATGCAGCCTGGAGCCCCTGGGGTAGAGGTACTAGGGTCTCCTCAGCCCACTTCTCCTGGAGGTGCTTACACCTGGGTGAACCAAGGGGGATTCGCGAAGGCAGGTGGCCCCTTCCAAAGAGACTGAAAATCCAAGTCTGTCCTCTCTGTCCCGGTGAGCTGTCGGGGTTTCTCTCCTCACCCCACCCTCCCACTCCTAGTCACCCCGGACTCTAAAGCAGACTACGTGGCATCAAGGGTGGCTGTCTGTTGGGGGTGGCGTTAGCAGTTTGGGGCCTGAGAAGGAGTGGGACCTACTCACCTCCTCTCAGCCCATCATAAGCCCTGGCATAGAGGCAAGAGGTCCCCAACACCTGCTATAAAGCAGGAGATGGAACCCAGAGATGGGCAGCCGCCAGCTCAGGGAACACAGCACAGGAGGCCACGCTCTGAGCCATGGTATAGAAAGGCCTCCCTCAGACAGGGACTCCAGCACTCACCAAGATGAGGAGACACTCATTGGCAAGTTCCTGGTGCTCCTGGATAGTGGACAGCACGGACAACACCAGGCAGGTGAACACCAGCAAAAATCTGCAATAGCGGCATGAAGGCAGGGTTAGACTGCTGGGTGGGCAGGACAGCCAAGGAGCCTCACTCAGCAGGGGCTGTGGAGTCAGAGGAGGGAAGCATTGTTTGAGACGAGGTATCTGCAGAGCAGATAGAAGGTTCGGAATCAGAGTCCCCTGTAATCGTGGCTTGTGCTGAACACCAAAGGGAGCAGCCCCCAGGCTCCAGGCTACTGAGTCACAGGCCCCTTGATGCAGCTTCGAGAGGCAGGTTGATCTGGACTGGCTCAGGGTCCCACAGTCAGGAACACCTCCAGGCTCAGCCATCACAACCTCAGCCCCTGGCTCTGAGGTTGTCTTGAGAGAAGTGCTCCAGAGATTGAGGGAGGGGAAAGGGAAGGTCAGCAGCTGAAGGAGGGAAGGGACCCCCATTCCCTACGACACCTGAGGTGGCAGAAGCATGGCTTCATCTGCAGAATGGGGCCAATTGTCTTACCTTTGTGGGCACTTAAGAAATTAAATAATCTGATAGCTATGGAAGGAAAGGGAACTAGGGAGAACAGGTAGAGAGAGAAGAATACAGAGTGCAGAGGGGGAGAGGGTGTGAAGAAGGGAATCAGGCATCAAGGAGCCATGAGGTGGAGGCCTGGAACTCCCCTGAAGGAAGCAGGAAGCAACTGAGTGGCCCAGAACCAGATGTTTAGACAAGGAAGGGACTTTAGAACCCGCCTCTCCCACCACTCCCTCAGCCCCAATTTCACACATAAGGGAATGGAGGCCCAGGGAACAAACGGCATCGCCAAAGGTCGCTCAGTGTGTCCAGGGTGAGGTTAGAACCAGGTTCTTAATGTTTCGGTGGATGGGCAGAAGGGAAAGGACATGAGGACAGAAGCTGGTGGCCCCCGGAGGATGTGAGTGCGTGATGGAGGCAGGATGAGGGGAAGATGCAGCAACAGGGAATGCTGGACTCCTGGAAGCTCTCCTTTTTGGGATGGAGGCGGGGCAGTGAGGGAGTGGGGTGTGATTACAGGACATGTGCCCTGGAAGAGACACCTGAGGGAATGGACTTCTCTGGAAACACATCCCTTGTGGATTGACCCACACAGCCTCCCCCAAATGTTCCCAGAGTCTCCCCACCTGGGTCTGCTGATGCTGCATTCTGCCTAAAATACTCACCATGGTAGCCTGCTGAAACTGCTCCCTTCCCCCACACAACTCTCCCTGCTCAAGGCGCCCTCTGGCTGCCCCCTCCCAATGCTGGTCTCCCTGTAAGTGGCCCGAATCACTTTCAACATAGCTTTGAGTTCATGTTTCATGGTGACAGGGGCATGGGCTGGGAATCAGAGAGCCCTGGGTTCGAATTCCAGTCCTGCCATGTGTGTGGCCCTGGGAAAGTCACCCACCTTCCCAAGACAGTCTCCTCATCTGCAAAGCAGGGACTGACAGGACAAAAACATGGAAAGGGTATGGCTACACCCTGACCCACTTACACGTCCTTGGACAGGGGCTCCCGGCCTGCTCAGAGGGCAGGTATAGGGCTGCGTCCCAGCACATGCCCCTGGGTGGAGGAGGTCAATAAAGAGTTTTGAATGAATGAGGGAGGAGGAGGCCTCCTTGGCCAGTTCCAGACAAGAGCTAAGTCAGCGAAGACAGAAGGCACGGTGCTCTCCCGCACCAGCTCCTCCTGCTCAATAATTAACCACAGAAAACGCAGCGGCCACATCCACTGGGAAGAGAGACTGTCTCTGACACAGGGCTCAAGGGCGGAGGGTCCTCCCTGAGGTCTTCTCATCCAGCCCCCTCCTCTGGGAAGGGCTGCAGCCAAATCTTGATGGGCCTGTACCCCAATGCTGGACAGTACTCCTTCAGTCCCATTGCTCAGCAACGCTAGGGGCTGCCTACTGAGTGTTTCAAAGAATTTTTTTCTCAACATTTTTCTTTCGATGCCAATAGATACACATCTATAAATGTCCACTTCATAATAGGTTAATTTTAAAAAGTAGCTTATAGAACCTTAAGGGCAGTGTGATCAAAATTTTTAACACGCAGATGTCTTTTATATACTGTACTAGAGGCCCAGTGCATGAATTTGTGCCCACCCCGATTGGAGCCGATTGGGGCCAGGCTGGCATGGGGCAGTGGGGGGGGGCTGTGGGAGGTTGGCCAGCCGGCCTTGCCCCCGCATTGGGGTGGGGGGGGGGCAATCAGAGGCAGAGCTGGCCATGGGGAGGGGTTGCCACAGGCAGTTGGCTGACCGGCCCTGTCCCCGATTGGGGGGCGGGGGCTCAATCACGGCCACAGCGCGTGTCAAAGCAACCCGTTGTTCTGGTCGTTCTGGTCGTTCCGTCATTCGGTTGCTTGGCTTTTATATACGGAGATACCAAGAGTCAGCGGGAGTTACCTCTGGGTGGAAAAGTTAAGAGTGACTTGGTTTTTGTTTTGCTTTTTGCTTCTCTGCACTTCCTAATATTTTTTAGAATAAACATGGGTATTCTCTTGTCTCTATAACTTGTCTCCTGTGCCCATTTCTTCTACAACTCACTTCTACCTCTATGACTTTCTAAATAAACTTACTCTTATGGTTTGAGTCTTGGCTCTGAATTATTTCTTAGCCGGAACTCAAGTACTGAGGTCCAGTCTAACTCCACCAGTTTAACACCTGGTGCCATTTCACCACCAACACATGCACATGGGGAATTCACATAAGCATGAAAATTCCAAACACATAAAACAAAATGAGGTATAAATGTCATTCCGTGCTAAGGGCGAGGGGGGAGGGGGAGAAGTGGTCCACAGCAAGACGAAAAGAGTTACTGTTTAATACATTGAGCCATCTTGAAACAATAGGTCACAAAAAGGACTTTGACCAAAGGGTCTTGCTAGGTTCTCCCCTGTCAATTACACCTAATATTTTAGATATTAAAATACAGTCGTTCATCTATGATGATGGTTCCCTCCTGGAGCAAGTCTGTTGTCTAAATTCCTTTTAGGCAATAAGGTCCTGAGCCTTCTGGACTTTTAATGTTTTTAGCTCGAAAGAACCTGCATGCTAGCGTAGCACATCTTGGGGTGACTCATCTGTACCCCTACACTTATAATGTAAACAACTTTATCAAGTTTTGAATTAATATCAGTTCAAAAACTGACACAGTGTTCTAGCCATTAAATATTAAAATTGTCGACCCAGATAAGAAACATTCATTTGATGTGAACCCTGAGAAGGAATTTATCTGCTGAGATGACTTCCCACGGTCAACGGAGGGCCAAAATTTTATAAATAAGAGCCTAGCAGGGATTTGCTGACAGGGGCTCCTCACA